AGAAAGGTCTGTTGGGTAGTGGTTAGACGAAAAGCAGTTACCGTCATAGTGTAAATTGCTATACTATGATGGGGGTCTGAGGGCGAAGTCGTACTGCTGCTAGCTGGATGGGGTGTGACAGCAGTAAGGTGTTTCCCTTGGATGACCAGCAGTGCCAAGCTGATGCTGCCTTCTCAGTGGAAGGGGGGGTTAGAAAAGGTCGGCCCCAAAAATAACACACTCCACCACGCCCCACGGTCTGCCGGGCCGGCGGTGTTGGTTCACTTGTCGTTTCCTTTCACCATCCGGCCCCAAAAATACAAAAATTCAAAATAATCATACTCAAAAGGCTGGGTGTGACAGGCCTCAAGCAGATGTCCGATGGGCTCTGCGGTCACACAAATCTCTTTCAGGTACCTTAAGAAGAAATAGCCTTCCACGGTGTGGGCAGCCGGGAAGTGTCAACCGCCCTCACAACTCTGTCAGCACCCAAGTTTCTTCTGACTGCTATCCTCCTCCTCCATCATTACCTTCTAATCTTCCTTCACGTCTCTTAATTAATGATGCTGCATCATCTTCAATTTCTCCTACCTCTGCAGCCTTCGACAACGATCTGAGTCCACAGAACAGTGTCCCTGGTCTCCTTAAACCACGCTCCAAATTACATATTGGAGCCTTCAATGTCCGCACCCTCCGTCAAATTGGCCAACAGGCTTCGTTGGCAAAGACTCTAGCAACTCGAGGCATGGATGTGTGCTGTGTTTGTGAGACACGCATACAGGACCCAAGTGTGGTTATTCACCTGACCTCTCCTGACCAATCTGGTGAATCTGCAAAATTCACCCTTCGAGTTTCTGGAGATTCGATAGCTAGCTCTCGTGGTCTTGCAGGTGTAGGTATAGCATTAAGCACCAGGGCAGAAAACTCACTACTAGACTGGATCCCAGTTGATAGTCGCCTCTGCGCTATGAGGCTGAACGGCACAGTGAGAACTAAAAGGAATAGTGAGACTCGCCGTTGTCTCTTTGTAATCTCTGCTTACGCACCCACTGACTGTAGTTCGGATGAAGTGAAGGACGAGTTCTACCATAAACTGTCTAACCTCCTCTCGAAAGCCAAACGTTCGGACGTAGTGGTTGTTGCAGGTGACCTCAACGCACAGGTGGGTAGACTGAGTGAGGCAGAAAGGCACTTAGGTGGCACTTTCGGAATCCCAGCTGAACGTACAGATAACGGTGATCGCCTATTACAACTATGCTCAGATAACCGCCTATTTTTAGCCAGCACAAATTTCAGACATAAAGAAAGGCACTGTCTGACCTGGCGTCCACCGAGCTCGACTCAGCGATGGACACAGATAGACCACATTGCTATTAGTCATCGCTGGAGAGGATCGGTGGAAGACTGCCGCTCCTTCTGGAGTACGTGTTTGGACAGCGATCATGCGTTGGTCCGAGCACGTATATGCCTGCGTCTCAATGGACGTAGAAAAAATTTGGCAACAAAACCACTACGAGTTCTGCTGGACAACGAAAACACCAAAGCCGTGTTCAGTGAGAAGTTGGCTAGGCAGTTATCGGAACAAAAGACTGTCACTCATCCAGAAGAAGCTTGGTGCCATCTTCAGTCTACTGTAAAAGCAGCACTGGAGACTGTAGCCGACTCCAAGATAATGGCTAAAAAGAGCCAGTGGATATCAGCAGCTTCTTCCAAACTAATGGATGCACGTGAATGCATCCCTGCAGGCTCTGAGTACAATGAAGAGCGAGCGCAACTTAAAAATAAACTGACGAAAAGTCTGCGCAACGATCGTGAACAGTGGTGGGCAGCAAAGGCTAAAGAGATGGAAAAGGCAGCGGCGATCGGTAACAGTAGACAGTTATTTAGACTTATTAAGGAGACTGGGGGAAATGGTCAACAACAGTTAGTGAGGTTATAGCGGAGAAGGACGGATCGGCGATTCACTCGCAGGGAAGGCGACTGGGACGATGGGCAGAACACTTTGAGGAACAGTTTAACTGGCCTCCAGCCACCATTGCGCTGCCCGCTATCCAGTCGGACCCTGAATGGGACATAGAGACAGGTCCCCCAACACTAGAAGAAGTTGAGAAAGCGGTAGGTAGCCTGAAACGGGAAAGGCAGCAGGACCAGACGGACTACCTGCTGAGGTATACAAGAATGGTGGTAGAGTTCTCTTAGTCAGGCTAACGGAAGTGTTAGCCAGTATATGGGAATCAAATACGATCCCCTCCGACTGGTCTAAGTCACTGATCATCCCAGTCTTCAAGAAAGGCGAGAAGTCCTCTTGTGATAACCACAGAGGAATCAGCCTGACAAACATAGTGTCTAAGATCCTAAGTTCTATAATTCTCCGACGCCTGAGTGGAGCTCGGGAACAGCAAGCCCGAGAAAACCAGGCAGGCTTTAGACCTGGCCGTGGATGTATCGACCAAATATTCACACTGCGCCAGGTCCTGGAACATAGGCATGCTTACAGACGCCCGACAATAGCTGTATTTCTCGACCTGAAGGCGGCATTTGACTCCGTTGATCGAGAAGTCTTATGGCAGTGTCTGTCACTGAAAGGCGTGCCTAGTAAGTACATCACGTTATTGAAAGCTCTCTACTCGAACACTTGTGGGCATGTTAGAGCCTATGGTGAGTTGTCCAGGGAGCTATACTCATCAAGTGGTGTCCGTCAAGGATGCCCACTATCCCCATTCTTATTTAATTTTATCATAGATATTCTTATGGAGGTTTCCCTCTCGTCACCTAATTACAAAGACGTTGACCGGACCACAGGTGAATTTTCCTTAGATCTAGAATATGCAGATGACATAGTCCTGTTAGGTGAAGACGCTGACAAGATGCAGAGTCTTCTGAACACTTTGAGTGGGAATTTGAGAATGTTTGGGATGCGATTTTCACCACCCAAATGCAAATTTTTGCTCCAGGACTGGTCTTCAGCGGTACCGCGGTTAACAATAGAGAGTGAAGTGGTTGAGTGTGTTGACCACTTCACTTACCTGGGAAGTAGGATCAACCCGGTGGGTTAGTTGCCGATGAGATTTCTGGGATACAAAAGGCTCGATTGGCTTTTGCCAATTTGCGCCACCTATGGCGCCGCCGTGATATTCGTTTTCTATTAAGGGTCGCGTGTACTGCACAGCAGTCCGCTCTGTTCTACTGTATGGCTGTGAAACATGGCCATTGAAAGTGGAAGAATAGAAGGTTCAGGTTTTGACCACCGTTGCCTTCGTAGTATAGGACGTATTCCGTGGTGTCACCATGTGAGTAATGCAGAAGTTAGGTGTAGAGTTTTAGGGAGAAGAGGTAAGTCAGTCGACGAGGTTGTGAACCTTCATCGACTGAGATGGTTGGGACACGTACTACGTATGCCTAGTCACCGATTGCCTCGTCACACAATGTTGGCTGAGGTGGGTCAGGCTGGAAAAAGGCCCGAGGTGGCCAGACTAAAACATGGCACCAATGTATGAAGTCTCTGACTGTTGGTTTAAGCCATGTAGGACGATGCAGACTAGGTGGTTGGGGTCCGGGACAAGAGGAACCAGTGGTTGGAGACCCTAGGTGATATGGCTCAGAACCGAAGTCAGTGGCGCAGATGTATCACACATTATCCTCATCTTAACAACGCTATCCGAATCTCACTATTTTGTCACTCCTCTTTCCTTTCTTTCTACTTTATATTTCTTTTGACTGCATTCACTTATCTTCATCCTTCACCTCACTACCTTTTTACTTGATGTGCTGATATGAGGTGTGGCAACTCGGACCGTTACGCAGTAATGCCTGGTCCTATGTTGATAAGATGATGATGATGACATACACTTCTAATACACCACACACTGTGAGGGACATTGACTTGCGGCACAAATAAACAGTCAACCCTATAACCTGGTACAACTTATTAATTTGGCCGCTATGAAGCTTAAAAGTTGCATAATAGCTGACAGCTCACTGGGGTGGCTAATAACCTAATCCAAATTCCCTCTTAACTGCCTTAGTGGATTACAAGTCCTTCAAAATCAATGTTTGTGCCAGATATTGTGGTCAACACCACTCAGTAATATAACAGAGTTCGAAGTACTAAAAACACTCCTCTCCAAAAACAACGTTTTCAACTACTTGCATGTTCATGCATTAGGTAGAGTCAATTACATGAGGGCCAATCGTGATAACCTACTTATCGAACCTCGGTGGCTGGAACATAGTTCAAATCCGTGACCGACTGGATGAAAGTCACATGTCTATACCAACCAGTCACAGTTCAATGGCCTTAATAACCCCTACCTCAAGACATTCATGGTGTAGTTTGGAAGAACAACTTAGCCCACAAGTTTTGTTTGGAGACTTAACTACCCAAGCCGAAGTTAGTGTGTTATAGTGTCAGCCCAAGAATAAGTGAGCGAAAGCTGTCTAGGATACTGAGCTACATTATGTACAGTGGAATGAACTGATGCCCGCCATGCTAATCCCTTAATAAAGTCGAATACGTTACATGAGTTGTGTAGATTGGTAGCAGATCACCCTTGGATTAACATGTTTCGATTCCATTGGCTTAAGCCTTACTTGGACTGGTACAACGAACTTGGACACCACTTGGGTTGAAATATACACTAAAGCAGAACCGTTTTAACAACAATAACATGACATGTCCACTTATCGAAAAATCACAGAACAGGAATAGAGTAAGCGTCAAACCTCTGTAGAGATTGCAAATTTACCATTGACCAATTCCTCACAGAATAAGAAACAGGCTTGAGTTTATTCATAAGACTTCCGGTTTTCATGATAGATTACCGGAACGTAAGCCCACATGCAACGCGTGTGGAACATACTTATGACCCTTCCTTTTAAAATCTCAAATAAAAATTTATATCACACTACTTGCTAATAAGAATTTCTACGAATGTTCCAAGCATCTGCTCAACAGAAAGTATATTAAACAGAATGTGTCACGAAGCCACAGACAATAAAACGAGATTTCAAAGAAAACTTACTTCATCTTTGCTTATCGGTACATCTGGGTGCAACAGATTACCTATCTCATACAAGTGCTGTTGTCTTATAGATTCATACTCAACTACTAAAGCTCCGTTGCTTTTTATTTCCTCATCGATTAGGCATGATAAAGACTTTAACTGTGATACACTTAGAGGCTAAAACGATAAATGCAATTAAAATTGTTACCACTAAGTCAGCTTCAACTAACGAGTCCAAACGAGTCGATAGTTCATCAAATACATTAGGTTCACAGTCAGGGCTGTTATTTTTTTCCTAACGATAAAACGCAAAACTAATGAACCCATACTTGAATTCTTTTTGCAACTGTCTTGCTACATAAATTTTTCAACTTATTCAAATTGTCAGCTCTAAAACGTGCTGTTAAGATAAACATCATTAGTTCATAACAAAAACCTTTCCGCCAATTCTCATCAGCTTCGAGCACCAAGTCAACGCGCTTAGTTCCTCTGAATCTTTTGATCTCACTAGAACGTATAAGTTCAGGATCACCTCCTTTGTCAACTCTGAAACGGTCCAAGTCAAGTACCATGGCCGTAGCGTCCACTACCAAAATGCCGCGCACACGTTTCAAACTTTCAGTGGATTTAGTTTTAAAAGATATGGATAGCGAGATAACAGTAGTAAAAAATACTATCCGGAGGAACACAGGTCACTGCCACAATGATGGCTGCTGCGTCTCACAACATTGTGAAATAGTCACCGAAGAAGAAGAATTACGTACCCATTAGATTTTTTACAATATCTTCATGGACGTTGTCGAAACAAGTGTCCAGCACTAGTAAAAACCTAAAGTGCTCAACTGTGAGGGGAGACCTTGAAATTTTTACAGCCAAAGTTCTTTGTAAAGACGAGTCAATTCAGGAAGCCCAATGCCTTCGAAACGGAATGCCGAAGATATCTGAGACAAAATGACAGCTGCGAAGCGATTGCCTCAGGTATGTGACAGATACTTGGTGCGAACTGGAAAATGTAGTCCGGTTGTTGCGAGATACTCTGAGAGTACTTATAGGATGCTGAACCAACAGGGAATGTAGGCAGCCTGTGGTCCATTAAAATGGTAAAGTCCTAAATGCTAAAGTCCTTCTAAATGAATTCTGAAGATAATACATGGAGCACTGGGTAAGAGTCTCTCACTATGCATGCCATACATTATTTCCTCATCCTGAAGTTTTGTCGGGGAAAAGGTACGTGGTTATCACTGGCTATCAATCTGCTGCTGCAAAAACACTCCGGTTGCTGGGTTGGATGCGTAAGTGCCACTGCTCAAAAAAGCATTCGGGTTATGATGCAAGAATATGACTGGATTCAGGGCGGCGTTCTTGACCCCAGGGAAGGTAGTTTTGGATACATAATCAGGACCTATACACTTTGTATTCCTATGAAACAAATCTTTCAGGGATCTCATTCGTGTAGCCAGGCTGAAACTTTCGGTGACTACTTATCAGGCTGCTGAAATGACTAGTGGTCCAGAACGGCTGTGATGATATCTGTCGGCGCACTACACCCTTATATTAAGTCCAAGAAAATTGAGTGGTTTGGCTCTTGCTTTACGCTCTTCAACTTTTGCTATGGCGCCGTGGCCTTTAAGTCTAACATGTACATGATCCAAGGGTTTAATGTGAGTTTCCTCGCCTTGGCTTGCGACGATAAATTCTTCAGTACAAACGCGGACAGAATCCAAGCCACTGCATACAGTTCATAAGGCGTCACAATGTTTGGTTCTGGTCCAGAAGACCATACGTGGAAATGCGATCGATCCAAAACGTGTGCCAGTGATTAATCCACGTTAATTCAGGTTAGGCATGGTAGATTATCCGTTGGCTGTCCCATTTCCGGACATTTGTATGAATCCGCTTGATGGAAGTAGTCGGCTGAGTACTTCGTTTGATAAAAGGAGTAGATGGGGTACCTCCTTTTAAACCTAGGCATGGGCCCCTGTAGTCGGTTCTGCCAATGAATAACTTTGCGCTGCAATCCGCCAGCCACCACTGGTGGGCACCTTCAGGACGTCACAGCGTCCTAGCAGATCTATGTTAATAACGGCCATCAAGACATTAGTTGGGAAGAAAATCAACTGAATAGGTTTAGGACTGGAAAATTCATGAATTGGTAACGGTGCTGTTGAAAGCTCATGGTTTCGACGATTTGGTACATCTTCGTCACAGGTGATGTAGATCCAACACTAATTGGAGTTTTCGAACGAGGAAGGTCTGGCTGTTGACCGGCTAAGTAAACCGCTTTGACGCAATGAAGCACGATGCCGTCGAACTGTATATCGTGACCTAATGCTTTAAGTGTATGAAGGCCGCCTGACAAAGTTGCAGAGCGCTGTCATCTCAAGATCTTAAATTCAGGTCTCACGCTGACACAGTGGCGTTTCAAGTACACCCAGAACATGTCTGCAATACTTTTACAGCCAAAGCTGCCCCGTCACCGGTTGCAATGGATTTGTGAATCAGCAGCACGGTTTGCGCAGGGGGCGACAGTTTTAAGAGAGACAGGACATAGAAAGGGTGACCACTGAACGTTGGCTGGCCAGTCACTTAAGGCATTAGTACAGGCAACTCAGTAGCCAATAAATCAGACGTATGACTTTGCTTCGTATTCGTATTCATTTTTTTCATCGACTGTCAGAACACGTAGCTAAGTTGAAGTTCACTGCGTTTGAATGAAACACGCTAAACCTTGAGGTGTCATCGCTGAGACGACAAGCTCTTTTTACTTCAAATATCCCTTGGTGCAAGTAAGAATAAATTGGGCAGCGCATTTCCAGTGTATGCCGGAGTATCAGCTTTCCGAACATAATTGCTTTTGGGTGAAGATAGGAGACTTTGGTACACCCAGAAGTTTGTGTCTTTGGCGTTTCAGCATCTTCAGCATTATCGCTACCGATCTTGCTTTCTCGGCGAAAGAGTTGAAGCACGACGGTGCATTTCACTCGATCGTACATAAGAGAATGTCCCACACATTTGCAGAGGCCCACCGATCCAAAATGCAGGCCTTAAGTTGCACATGTTCCCAATTTGGCATAATCACCAAGCATTGACAGAATTTAAAAGATACGTCGTTTAGGGAAACTCAGTCACATTCTGCTACGATTCATTTAGTAACGAACACATTCCTCACAGGTTGTGTCAGTTTCCTGACCATAGTTTTCGGGGCATAGATGCCTTCTACTTTTGATTCCTGACAACCCAACCAGAACATACCGCGTTGTAGTTAGATTTTAATGTTGTAGAACACGAAATGAGCATGCTGACAGCTTGCATAAAGGACTGAACTTGCTTCAAGGCTGAATATGAGAATGAAAGAACTCACCTAGTTTACGATTAACTGCTGGAATATAGCATGTGAAAAGCGGGTGTCCAGTTGCGTATAGGAATATCAGTTATGGAGAAATTAGAGCAATGAGTAGAAATTAAAACGTGAAAATTAAGAAGCAGCGAAAATTTAACGACTTGGTCTGTTCAGTAATTTTGAGTTCTATACTGGACTCCAATCAACAACAGGTCATAGATACCCACTTCCCAGACCTTCACAGTTAGGAAAGAATGCTGCAGTGGCTGACGGCAGACAAACGTACATTGGATCATTAAATATTTACCCTTTGTGAAACAGATATGCCCCATTTTGTCGGAATACACGAGGATTTTTTAGAAAATGAAGTCATTCTATTTTGCTGCGCGGAAATACTGGCTGTCATATGGTCAGGGTGAAGAGAATAGAAATGATGCTTATCAAGCACATGAACTGTATAAGTTCAGGACAACTATTGAGGTTTATTATAAGGGTGACACTACCACCGCTTAGCTACCAAGGGAGGAATCGATTACAAAGAAAACCAACTTATGTACCAAAAATGTACGAACGAAACCAAGAATCTACTCTTCTGACCAACAGCTCAGTCAAAGGACTAAAGCCGGTCCATACGTGTCGGTCAGAGAGGCGAAAAAAGCCAGTTAGAATGGAGGTCACAGTTCCTAAAAGATGGACAAGCACATGTGGATGTAACCCATAACAAAGATAGAGTGTCATTCGGGTAGAAAAGGTCGGCTAGTTGTTGAGACTGGACCCCAGATATAGTGTTTTGGAGTGGGAAGAAGTACACGGAGGCAGGCTAGCGCATTATATTCAGAAATATGCTTTGTGACAATGGTGATGGTCAATAGGCTTGCAGAAGAGTTACTGAATGAAACAGAGGGATTTAAGGCAATACATTTACTCCTATCTCTGCAATAATAGACCTCCACTTGTGGCATATATGGTGCATAATCAAACAGAACATGGTCTGTACATTCCGTATAGGTCAACAAATTCTTCTTTCCTACAAAATGGTTACAGGGTCATTACATCGGTTCATCTTCACCGGTAATGTTATCCAGCGATACTAAAATCCGTGATTTGTCCTCGGTTCTACTTTTTCTTGTCAGACTACAAGTCCTATTCTGTCCACACTAATATTTTCCACATTTTATGAACTTTGCAGCGGTAAATACTTTTCGGTTTTGTCTGTTACTCCAGACGGCTTACCACAAGGTGACTGATGGGTTTAGAACCGCATCGCGTTCGAAAAATACGCCTGAACACTCAATAAGTACACCAAAAACAAAAGCTCTTCATTTCTGCTTCCTTGATGGTGGAACCCTGAAGTCATTTTTACATCACCATACATCAGCCAGTATCTTGTTTCTGCGCTACCAGTATTTAAACAGGATAATGGCCATCCCCTCCATTCACTTGAAGTCAACTCTTCCGAGAATGAGGAGGGCTTTTTATTTCCACCATGATTTTTCCACCATACCGTTGAAACTTCGGTAACACTTTGTGGTTAGTGTCCTTCTGCTATTCAAGATTAGGGTTGACTACCGGAACAGTCCCATTGGAAAACAAAAAGTAATAAAAGACAGTCCAGTAAAGAAAAAATGTCGCCGAATCATTCTCAAAGGCTGTATAATCGTAATCATACTTACAACAAAATATGCATGTCCATCAATGCTAATGGTTCAAAACAAAGTCATCAAAATGTTAATGAAGTCACAATGTGGAAACGGACGTAGGTCTAGTCAGGGTCATCAAAACTTACAAGATTATGGTAAATAAACAAAAAAACAAATAAACCGTCTTAGAAAGACCATGGCCAAGGCGGAAGTAGAGATTGCACATCGTTTTTGAACACAAAGACTGGGCTTGTAACCCTGGATTCTCAAAACCTCTATGGTGTTAAGGTGGGGAATACTCACTCACTTCAAAATGTGTGACTTCACCTCGTAAATGACCTTGAAAGGAGACTCGTGGGGCATAGTAACGAGAGATAATCAGATGTCAATGGCTTCATACCGTCCTCCAGACAAAAATACCACCTGTTGTCGAGGTAGTTACAAAGGTCATATAAAGCTTGTTCTTTCCTGACTCATCTTTTAATATTATCCCGCACGACTGCCATCAACAACTTGACTTTTGAGTGTCTGGTTACCCCTCATCACCATGCCCCACGAGAGTCTTCTTTCAGAGTCACTTATGAGGTGAAGTCACACACTTCTTAAGGCCTTAATGGTCTGAATAAATCAACTTCCTTGTGGCAAAGTCTGGCACTGGTTGTTGCAAGGTTACCTAGTTCAGCTTGCCCGTGGATTTTCAGGTTTCGGAAATGCAGCTGGGTTTAGACCACTGTTTTGTGCCTCACTTGATATCGGGTCATAAGTCTGTCAGAAACATATCTGACTGGGGTTCATCTTGCATTGTTTAATATATCGTGTGGTTCCTCAAAAGTCACGCGTCTCATACATTGGGAAACAAACGGGTTCATTCCTTCTGTAAAAGTACCAATTATCAAAAGGGAATTTTCCACAGAAATTTGAATATAATTATGTGCCATATCAGACAGACTAGTCTTATGTGGTAGTCAGTGGACTATTTGATTCTCTTTGCCATAGAACGTAGGGCGAGAAATGGCTGATGGAGATTAGGATATCAATAAACGGAGGCTGGTTGCTATTACGGATCGCGTTTAAAAAATGGAACGCCTTTTCTGAATATCAAAGATAACAAGTGCTCCTAAGACTGGAAAATTGCTGCATTGGAAGAGGTGGTATAGAAGCATGATATGGGAAGGTATTAGCTTTGAGTGATCTTAAACGGTCGAGATCTTTTTCAAGAGAGACTTTCCAGATCCCATCAATGCCCGAGGTGACAAGAGAGGTCAAAAGTGCGCTGGTGCCATTTTGAATTTGATAACTTGGCTCGAAGCCGTTTGTCAGCATGCAGCCTTATTAGAATGAGACATTCTGAAAAGGAAAAAGGATGGCAGTCAGTTAGGAATCCCATCACTGACGGACATGAGCCAAGCAGCTGTCTTTTTTAGGCTACCACCTGAAGTACTGGGGCTTCGTTAATCTCAGGTGCTGGAGTATAAGTCAACCGTTCCCTACTGATTAACAGAGATCTAGCTTATGTATGATTCTTTAAGCCTCTAACGAGTTCAGCATTTGAACATACGGATGGCGTAAACTTGTGTAAGATCTTGGTGCAAAGAAACCTATCACGTAGGATTTCATCCCTGAAGAAATCGTTGTCCCAATCGTTGGTGTACAGTTTCGCATCACTTTAATCAGTCGGTAGAACCTAAACATCAAAGTGTTTTGAACGATCACATTAATGGACTGTAAATGCTACTTGCCGATACTAATGTTGAGCTTACGCAGTAAGCCCCATCCAGTGGACTGACCCGTACTATTTTGCTACAGTTACCTTTATTTGGCCATCTGAGGCATTTACTTGCTGCCTGACTACTAAAAAAATTTTGTGCCCCCTATTTTTTAATTTCTTCTTTGAAGACATAAAAAGCACACACCTCAAATGTCGAGTCAAGTACCCCAACATGGTCTTAACTGTGAATTAACATATTCTAAGATAAATATTGCAGGGTTTTGCATCTCATTGGTTTTTCGAGTTCGTCGCAACGGAGTACATGTGTAGAAAGTGAAAGAGATAGATTTTTTATCCATTGTGTCTAATAAGAGAGGCAGACAGATATCTATTTATGAGGCTCGACCATCTGAGATAGCTGTGGTTTGGCAGAGTAGTATTCACGCTGGGCGAAGATTGAAGGGAAAATGAAAATTTGGGCCGGAGAGGGATTTAAACTACCAGGTTTCCGACCTATTGTCCTACCAACAGACAATTACAATATGCAAAAATGCTAAATACTGCAGAAGTTAGTTGGGATGCACTCTTCCAGTTATTACTAAAAGTCAGCATCTACGTCACGTGCTATTTTAGGATTTGTCCTGGTGCGAACTTGACAGACGCAAAGACCAATCACTAATTATTCGAACTTGTTATATACCCACGAATACGAGACCAAGGTAGAACACGATAGCGTAGTCGGATGGAATAGTATATTTGGATGGTTATGCCAAAATACCGATGCGTTCCAACTAACTGGCTAGAGAGTCGAATACGAGCAATGCAACGTAACACGACAGCGTGCCAAATGGCGAGGATGCTTGACCGGATGCCTTCAGCTTAGCGAGTCCAGTTAAACTATCAAGGTCAGCATCAATGTCGAAGTCGTCAAACCCTAGGCTATTGATTTTGGGGAAGTGTATGACGCTACAGATCACTCCCCCCCTAGTGGGTTCGTGAGGACCCTAAGACGATACCAGCCGGAAGTAAAAACCCAGTGGTTTCTCCACTGGTAAAACTCTCCGATGGGCTCACTGCGTGAGGTGGCCCCTGGTTGTCTGAACCTTATTCTAGGGTGTCGTGGCGATTAAATAAATAAAATACAATAAATGAAATTGTACGTCGGTCGCGGTCATCTGTTCCTTTCGACGTTCCGTCCAGTGCTCGTTGCACCTGGAATATAAATAAAAGTCTTTAATACCACGAAAACGTTGCGTAAAAATGGGAATTATTTATATATAAACGTGTCGAAAAATGAAAATTTGCGCTTATCTTCGCCGTGTTTTTAGTTTTTATTACATGGTAAGTAAAAATTGATATAAAAAGGCAA